GTGTGTGTGTGTATGTGTGTGTGTGGTTGGAGGCTACATGATTTTGCAATCTGCAAGTCTAAATGTCAGGGGGTTCCATTTCCCAAACAGTGTGCACTTGCCATGTCTGCCCCATATAAGAGTGTGCATTCCTGCAGACCTGCGCAGGATCTCATGTGCTTACGAGTATAATAAACCCCTCCCCAACTCACACTTATGCACACACACACACACACACACACACACACACACACACACACACACACACACACACACACACACACACACACACACACACATACACACACGTCACACACACAATCAAATGGTGATTTCATTCACCAGAAATTCAAAGAAATATTGCAAAACTCTTTTAGAATTGGTTGATGCGGAAAAGTCAAATTGTGTCATTAGTTCTAGATTTCAACATTGTTTTCTTTCTTTGGAAGGCTTTTTTTTTAAGTCATCTCGTCCTTGTCCTCTCGGCTGTGTTGTAATGACACCCAATTGCATAATTAGAAAATTCAGTTTATCTTAATACTGCAAACTCTTAAAATGTCTATATAGTAGAAAGTAGAAAATGGAAACACGCATTAATTTACATTTCTTTGCGCTGGATGCAGACTTGATTTTTGTCTACGGGTTTATGAGAAGAATCCTGTTCCCCAAATGCTATATCTCATTTGTGACAGACACATTTGAAATAGCCAAAATGTATATGAAGTTGTGAAAGCAACGGAAAACAGTCTATAGTGCTCACCATGAGGTCGGGCGAAGAGCCTTTCATCGCAAGGCTGGGTGAAAGGCTCTTAGTTTTATTAGTGCACTTCCTGGTGCTCATCAACATTTAGATTAGATATACTTTATTTTCCCAATTTGGGAATTTTTTCAATGTGTTTTGTGGGAATACATTGCACCACAAGGTCCTGCAAGAGTTTCAGCATTGAATAGGCAGAGGCCATCTTTATAGAATCCACCAAGCCCCAGCACCTACCCCGTCCTTAAGATGTGTGATTGTGCTACCTCTTCACCTTTGGGTTTTCTACCCTGGAACGGTATATGCTTTCGTTTAGCATCACAAAAAATATTGGTAAAGGTTGCAAACCATTTAAGGGCCAACATTTTGTTTTTTCTGATTCTGACTTTAGCTACAACTCATGCTGTTTTGATGCTTGCTAATGTTGCCCCTGCAAATTAAAATCTCTATCAGCAACATATTGCAAACTTAACCCCTTTTTTGTATTACATTTTTTTATCTATCGGCATCTATACATTATATTTTTTAAACAAAAAAACAGGAGGAGGGTTATGAATAGGGGTGAAAGGAAAAGAAAAGAGGAAAGTGTGTGTGCATGTAGCTGGGTCGGTGGTGCAAGGGGGTTTGGTTGAGCGCTACACCAGATGTGAAAATGACTTTTGCAATATGTCATCTAAACAGCAAACTGCGGGGGATTTACTTGAGCTTGCTTGAAGCACATAAGTGCTGGAAAGACACAATTACAGTTAGCTTCTTGAAAATCTCAAACCAGCTGAGGGGAAACATAATTCATTGCAGAAATTGGCTTGTAGATTTCCCCACAGCCTCAGAACATTAGTCTAACATATGTTACCCAAATGCAGATTCACGCTGGAAAGTGGCTGTTTTTCCCTTTTTTCAATTATATCGTGGGTCACATTGATGTATGTTGGTATGGTGACAAAGCGGCTGATGCAGCAGATAAGAAGACCAACATGAGATGGGCCAAGTCAGAATCTGGCGATTGGTGGCACCTGATGATTCCTTTGTCCTGCGTTATCGCAACACAACCTCGCCAGTAGGACTCCTATGCATTGATGCATTGATGGTACAATCCACATACACACACTTTCTGTGTCATACATGTCCTGACTCAAAGTCCCATGCAGCCTAAAGGCCACAGACTTCTAGTTATTTTATAAGTAAACATGGAGCACATTTAATGCATTTCAATGTCTTAATCTCTGGCCAATTTCAATAGCTAAATAATTATTCTCTCTTGGACAATAATGTAACACTGTCCCATTTGCATTTGAAAATGCAGGAGTAAGAAACTACTGGCACAACATAAATGCTTTCCTATAACAACAGCTGATGTGTGGGTGTGACAACCTTATTCTTGATGGTACAATAACGCTGTAAATGAGGCAGAGCACAAACATGTGGCGGTAGCAGCAGTCTGACATACTAGCTCACACACATTGCTTAGCAAATTGAAAAAAAACACAGTAAACATACACAATTGAATTTTTTTTCTGAAGATTCAAACATTAGTTTCATCGGTTTTCTAGCTGCATTGTCTCCTGTGGTAAACCAAACCACTTTTCGTAAGCCCAAACCACAGCACAAATAATTATTTGCATGCTCAGTTTCTGACCCAGCAATGGTTGAAACTGTGAATCCAGTCTGCTATAATACAAGCTGATAATAAATGGTTTCTCCTTCAGCTGCCTGTGCCGGAGCTTCCTGTGTTGATGATATGTATGTGGCCCGGTGGGGTGGAGATGACAATGTAGGTGTGGAGGAAGTCAAATGCAGGTGTTTGTGTGTGTGTGTGCTGTCCCAGGTGGGTGCTGACAGACCGGCAGGTAAACAGGCAGGTTGGTCTGTGATCTCACCTGTTAGAGCAGACTCTTCAGCGCCTGCAGGGCTTCTGCAGCGGAAACGTGTTCTTTATGTGATGCTGGAAGGCCAACTCTGTTCTACACTTTGTTCTTTTTATGTGCTCTTTTTTCCCTTTTTTAGCTGCCTCTTCTCTACCTTTCTCACACACTCTGTGGTGTTCATGTGTCCCGCTTTACTCTCCCAGGTGCACTCTGGTAAACACCCAGGAAACAAGGGTGCAGAGGGGAAGGGCATAAGGGAATGAAAAGCGCCTCAGGGGTAACAGCAGTGCAGGTGGGCTGGGGGTGGGGGGTGATGACAGTGTGTGTATGTGTGTGCGTGTGTGTGTGTGACAGGAAGATTTTGTGTGCTCCAGCTTCTTAAGGAGGTGCTTTAGAGAGAAAGGAATGTTACACATCCAGATTATAACAGACCACCCCTATAAACTAGGAGGAAGTCAGTTTAACCTGTGAGTCAATCGCACACAAACAAACACAGCAGCCATCAAGCATTGCTCTGATATGAAGTGGCCATCTGTCTCATGTTACATCGTTACGAGGAAGTCTCTAAATGATTTCCTGTTACTTATGTAATGTTTTTTTTCAGTTTAAGGTCAAGCTGCTTTATTTGGCCTTCAGTGACCTAACAGTGTTTTATAGAGAGCAATCTATTCAGACACAGGAAGCAGGGGACCTCAGGAAGTTGAAGTGATGATGTAAAACAACTCAAGCCCATAAACATTCCTTTATAGAACGAATCGTAGTTAACGTAATCAGCATTTAGTAAACTAAAGTATCTTTATAAGAAGCCTACAATGTGTTTAAAAGGTATGCTGAAATGCACTGTACTTATGAATGATTACATTAGGACCTAAGCACTTTAGGACCTAAGATTTCCTTCAAGATGTTGATCCTTATTTGTCAAATTGTAATGTTAGGACATGCTGTTATATCTATATTTTACTATGTAACTTGGAAGTTTTATGAGTATTTTTGTCCAAAATCCCACTTGGAGTTTTATGTCAGTGGTTATTCTGAGGTATAGTGCATGGTGTGTGTGTGTGTGTGTGTGTGTGTGTGTGTGTGTGTGTGTGTGTGTGTGTGTGTGTGTGTGTGTGTGTGTGTGTGTGTTATTTGGTTGAAAACAGCTCACAAAAGTAACGACACAACAGCCAGGTATATTTAACAATATATATTTCCATTGTCAATGTACATTCCATTTCGACATAAGCTTTCTTCACAAACAAAAGGTTGGCATCTAAATAAATACTATATAAAATAGAACTTCAAAATAAATATATCTATAAAGGGAACCTTTTATATGAGAGATTTTTTTTCTTTTTGTTATATCTAAACAAAACAAAAGCACGGATTTCGTTCTTAATCCCCAACATTGACATTGCAAAGGCATAAAAGGAATGGAGTAGTATCACCCAGCTGTATGAGACTTTTCCTTTTGTTTGGGTTGAAAATAAAATAAATCAGTGCCCGAAATTTGAGCGACACAAAGGGGTATGGGTGTGTAAAAGTCACAGCATTGTAGCAAAGGGTAAAAAAAGAAAGAAAAATAACGTTTTTAATGATTGAGTTGTCATTGTTGGATGATTATTCCACACCTTTAACAGGCTAGCGAGCACATGTAAAAGTATAAAGCTAACGTGCAGTGACAGAGCAGAGAAATAAAATAAAGGCAGCGACTGTTGAAAAAAGAGGTCCATTGGTTAAAACGATGGCACAGAACTACAAATCGAGAGGGAAAACAGTCGAGAAAGGGAGAGGAAGAGAGACAGACTTGTCTTTCTCTCCCTTCTCTGTGGTATGACACGTTTATGCACAGCAGCTGTGTTTGTCAATCAAGGCCAGGGGTGTTTGTTAAACTTTTTCTCAGGGAGGAAGGAGGGAAGAAGAGGGAAGAGAGGAAGGAAAAAGGCAAGAAGGAGAGAAAGAGGGGAGAGCTGAGACACTGAGAAGTAACAGCAGGAAATGGGCTGATCCGGATAGGGGTAGATTGTGTTCCCTGTGTGGATTCAATGAGTCCACAGTCTTTAGGACTCGGAGAGGAACCAGGGAATTAGCTTAGCCTCTCGACTGCTAACGAGCCATGGATAGCATAAACAGCAGGAATTTGTTTTCCTTCTTTTTTTTTTATTGCCGGGCACACTTTTTAAATCAAGTGCTAGTGATAGAAAGACCTGTCATCTTTGTTACCCCTCCCTGAACCTTCCTATCTCCACACTCAATCTTTCCTTTTACTCACAACCTCAAAAACATCTTAATCTTACCCTCAAAATATATATCTAATATATTCTCTATATATTTTGTACTGAATTGTAGTTATAACGTACCATGCAATCTTTCAAGGACATTTAAAAGTCT